CATGGAACAACCTAAAGGGTTTGTCCTACCTATAAATGATCAAAAGGTATGCAAATTAGTAAAGTCATTATACAGTTTGAAGCAAGCTCCTAAGAAATGACATGAAAAACTTGATTTAGCCATCATTTCATTTGGTTCTAAACATAATAGCGTAGATAGATGTTTGTATTCTAAAGTATGTGATGATTATGTGATATTTATTTGCTTATATGTTGATGACATATTGATTTTGAGTAATCACATGGATGAAATAAAATAAACGAAGATGTTTCTATCTTTCACATTGAAGATGAAGGATCTTGGACAAGTGGATACCATTTTGGGTATAAAAATTACTAAATCTAGTGGGGGTTATCATTTAAGTCAATCATATTATATTGAGAATGTGATAAATAAGTTCAAAACTAATAAAGAATGATAGAAGGACAATTGCTCAATTGGAGTACGCAAGTATTATAGGGAGCCTAATGTATGCAGTTCAATGCATAAAACCAGACATAGCATTTGCTATCTGTAAACTTAGTAAGTTTACTAGTAATCCGAGCAATGACCATTGTAAGGCCATAAGAAGAATTCTTGGATATTTAAAGAAAACCAAGTATTTAGGTCTACAATACACTAAATTCCTAGCTGTATTAGAAGGATTTACAGATTCTAGTTGGATATCTAGCACGGGTGAAAGAAAATATACTTTAGGTTAGGTGTTTACTCCTAGAGGAGAAGCTATTTCTTGAAAATCAAAGAAACAAACATGCATAACACTCGACTATGGAATCAGAATTTGTAGCACTATAAGAAACCGAGAAAGAAGCTGAAGGGCTTAAGGATCTACTCTATGAGATACCTTTTAGACTAAAGATTACATCATCAATATCTATCAACTACGATAGTCAAGCCACAACAGCAAAAGCTCACAATAATATATACAACAGAAAGTATAGACATATCAGTCCTAGACATGACTACGTAAGGAAATTAATCAATGATGAAATAATTTCCTTACATTATGTTTAGTCAATTGAAAATTTAGATGATCCTTTAACTAAACCTCTAAATGAAGATTTAGTGTCATCTACTTCGAGTTGAATGTGGTTGAAACTCTTGAACTAATGGTTCATCAATGATAGCAACCCTACAGTTGTTACTCATCAAGTAATCCATGGGTTCAAAGGGTAACAATAAGTCATTCGATATATGGATAGTTTCAGCATTATATAATTCGCAATAACCTTATTCTAATTAAATAATGCTGATTGTTACTGAAATGAAGGATGAGTTTTAAAGCTCTTGATAAAGTTCAGCACTAAGTACAAGTATCTCTAAAAGTAACAAAGATACTGGAAGAACTTCACCTAGATAAACTTTCAGGTTGTGCCGCCTCAATAGAGAATTAGAGTTTCTTTCTTAAAAGTTTGTTGAAAATGATGAGCACAATGCCATATTAGTGCTAAGCGAGATTGAGAAACTTAAGAACACGTAATACTTGTATGTGTTCTTACCAGTATTGTCATATGGAATAATTGGTTCAAAGCTTTCATGTTATCTTTAATATCGATTTTACTTTGTTTGAATTACACTATGATTAGATTTAAATAGAAAGATATATAATCCTTATGTATAAGTATTGTATATTTTGAATATGAGATTTTATTAAATTTTGAACCAAATGAGGGATTGTTGAAAATATATAAAATGGAATGTGAAAAAAAAATGGAACCAGAGGCCTTTATTTTGGCATATGCGACTGCATAGATCAAGAAGGCTTGCGGTCTCATAGACCGTTGCAAAGATTAAATGCCTTGCAACTAGTTGTTCTATACGACCGCATAAGTTTGTTCTATGCGGGCACATAGAACAACCAGTTAAATGTTAGATGACCATTTTATGGCTGTTGTCTTTTTGAATTTGATGACTTTTCATATGAATTTAGCACTATTTCGTGGAAGACATTTGAGGGCTATATATAAGTGAACATGTTCAAGGCAAAATAAGAAATATATCAATTTTTTATAACATTTTTATTCCACACATTTTTGAAATCAAATTCCTTCATACATCTTCAATATTTTCATTTGTGTTCTTCAAGTTTTGAAGGATTTTCACTAATGTTTAAGTGTTAAATCTTTTACAAGGTTTGATTACTCCTGCAAACCATTTGTCATAATCTCTTTAAGCATTATTTTCAATCCAAGGGGGAGTAAATATAGTTGGAGGACAACGGTATCATGTTCAGGCCTTATTTTTCATCTTCTTATTGTTCTTCTTTTCGTTTTCTCCAATTTTCTGGTTTTTGTTATTTACTTTCATTTTCGTACCTCTTTGTGCACATTTAATATTATCCAACATAGATTTTATTGAAATTTGTGTAATGAATTATTAGTTTATGTGGGTTTAGTGGTGAGTATAACTTTAATAGAGTTGGTACTCTTAGCTTTAAGGGTTTTTTTTTTAACTTGATTAAATATTTTTAGGTATTCTTGTATGAATTTTAAATTGATAATCTATTTTATTATTTCTCTTGAAGTAGTACAATATTTATAATTAATATTTTAGTAGAATATTAATCGTAAATCTGTTTATTACGAATAGTTTGTCGTTACTCTTGAAGAGCATAATTTAATAAGATCTAACGTAAATTATATTTTTACTCCGAAAGAGTAATTTTTTGTATAATTTATTATAAAAATATGTAATTACTCGTGAAGAGCATGAATTATAATTATTAATATTCTAAAAAAATATTGACATATTATTCTTAAAGAAGTAATAATTAAATACAACATGCTCTCGAAATAGCACACGTTTCAAAAAATATATATCATTCTTATTAGTGTTTATCTTTGAAGGAAAACATACAACTCATATCATATTGATATTGACTACTTGATTCAAAATTATTTAATGTCGAATCATATTTTTCGAAACTAATTGTATTTTCTTTTGTTTTATTGTATAGTTAATCAAATAACAAATATCACAAAATTCGAGTTTGCTGCGATTGGAACATATGACAAGAATTATCTATTATAAGTCCTCGATGTTGACATTCATCTTGTCTCAAAAGATTTGGGAGAGACAATAAAAGAAATAAATAAAAAAATCCTTGTAGGATCATACAAAAGAACTTATCTTCATTCGTCATCATCTTCATGATAGATTGAAAATTGAATACCTCACTGAAAAAAAATCTATAAGTTCTTTAGAAAAAAAAATTAATTGAAAATTTTGATTATCAGATGACTATAGTCCTCCACAAAACACTATTATTTGATGCACCTTCGTTTGAAAGACTTTAAAATTGTTAGTGAGTAAAATTCTGAACCGTTTAAAATATGTTCAAAATTGACTTTGAATGGAGAAAATATTACTGATGAAGATATGTTGGAGAAAACTTTCTTCTTCTTTCACACATCGAATGTTCTCTTGCAGTAGCTACATAGTGAGTGTGATTTCAAGAAGTACTCAAAATTCATATCTTGCGTACTGTAGCTGAGCAAAATAATGAATTGTTGATTAAAAATCACGAGTTATGTCCAATTGATTTGTATTATTGCCTGAAGCAAATGTTACTATATTGCTTGAAGTAAATGTAATATTAAGAAAAGGACGTGTACGTGAACACAAATTTGGATGTGAACATAGACGTGGAATAAACCATGTATGAAATAAACAACAAAACCATCAGAAACAAGACAACATAAGACATACTTTACTAGAAATTACAATATTGAAAACATTGCGGACAATACATGGATCAATTGATACATGAATTTTCACTTATTGAAATTAGAGGAAGTAGATGTACTCTTTTTCCTTCGATCAAGTTTTGTTCTACTAAATTTTCTTGACAAGGTTTTAACGTGGCAAAATTTATAACTCCGAATTATTTGTACTCTTTTTCATTTATTGGCTTTTTTGTCTCATCAGGTTTTACCAAACAATATTTCAATAAAATAGTTATTGTGCAAATAATCATTAAATGGGGAGTATTATAAAATAATGAGATAATTATTGATGATTATTTAGTTCATGTTTGGCTCTCATTATTCCCAATTTAATTATAATTCATTTTTCTTACTCTTCTTATCAACCACACATTCACCAATAAAATAATATTACACGTATATCCAAAAAAGTCTTCTTTTTTAATTACACATTCTCCAAAAAATTATTATTCCTCCCATTATAATGTGGAATAATGGAGGCCAAACCGGCACTTAGTATTATCATGATACATAGATAGGTTTTATCTAGTCTAGGAGAGTTTATTTTATTTCAGCTTCAATTCTCATTTTGGACGCTATAAATAAGAGGTCCGTTATTTAATAAAATACGAAAGTCTATTGACTTTTCTACTTTCTTCTAATTTTCTCTTCTTTTATAACAAGTAAAATATTATTCCTTTTTTGTCCTAAACAATTCTGTTTTGGTGACATTTTTTTTTAATACTTTAGCCAAAAATAAATAAATAAAATGTTAGTGTGGTACGAGTAGTTCTTGAAATTTGCAGACTTTTCTCTCCTCACACGTCAAATTATTTGATTATGCATACAAGGAAGTCAATATATCTATAAGTGGCTTATTATGCCAAAAGTGATTTTCAAATTTACCTATTTTTATTGTCAAAACTTACATTTCTACACCTTCCTAGGAAATAAGCTTTCAGCACAGCCAAACAAACTCTCAAGTCTTAAATAAAATTCATCAGTAAACTGAAACATACTCATACTAGTTTAAGGCATGATTACACTGGCCCATATCAATTGTTAAATCATATGTTGCCAAAATCTACATGTGCTAATTACCTAAAAGAAAATATAATGAGCAGAATTTATAAGTTGCCATCCATTGTAACTCTAAAACTTGCTTTATGTCACCAGAAAAGGAGTTCATCTGTTATCTTCTTCGTTGGTTGATCATCGAGGGATAGACGTCAATCAAAACCCTAGATCATGTCTCTTCTCCGGAAGTGGAAGGTAAGCCCGTGAATATCGTCCAAATCAAACAGTATATGATTGCTGAATTGTGTCTATGTCGAGATTCTTTAGTTTTACAACTGATTCTACATGGCCTTTCAGTGTGTGCAACTCTCTCAGCCTACAAGAAAGAGTAATATATCATTACAATCCTGCGATGACTTGCATTGACGGGAATCAACGTAATTACATTGTCATTGAAGTATGAGAAAAATCAATAAAGCACAGCCATTATTTGCCAAATACGTTGTATCCTGAACCTACCCTTCCTCAATTTTCATAAGTTCACAGTTACTTCATTTTAGAATGCTTGTAGATGTGCTGGTGATTGCCTTACTGGGAGTGGGAAAATTCTTGTGAATCGAGGATGTGTTAAAGAATTTCAAAATACGTGACTACATAGCCCATATAGAATTTCGTGACTGAATGGTCCTCTTTTTGGAGAGGTCATACAAAATGAGGTCCAATGATACGTGCCTTTCGCGGTTTTCCTAGTGGATCACGCTAAAAGGGAGTGTTGTTAAATTAGAGGTATGGAAACAACTGAGATTGAGAGTTTTCAATACCTAAGCTCAAACTTTCAAAGGGAAGGGATGTTGGAGATGAAGTTATTAATAAGATTAAGGCGGCTTTTTAAGTGGATGAGTGTCTCCCTAGGTTTTGCAGAAAATGTCGTGGCTTGAGAGTCTTACAGGTTCCAACACAAGATTTCTATATTCAAAATGGAACTTCTTTTTTTGTACCTTGCCATCTCAGCTCGTCGTTTTGCCTCTTCAGCAATTTGATTAAGATCTTTGTTATTACTACGTTCACCAAAATGTGTCTCGGGTGGATGAAGCCCATGGAGAGTCCTCTGCGCATGTGCCCACTTAAGTTCGCGCTCTTCCTTTCCAAAGTCCTTTTTCCTTGTGAAGGCAATCTGCAAAATAGAACATGGCACAAACAACATTAAGCAAAAGCTTCATCAATCTAGTTAAACAAATGAGATGCAGTTTTCATACCCTTTGCTCAAAAATAAGATCCCAAGCCCTCCCACTCAAAACATATCTGATGAAGAACTTGATCAAATCAAGGGGAAAATAAAATATGAGATTATAAAGCCATATAACCCCAGCCCAACCCCATCCAATTCCTTCAATTGCAGCAAAACTCCAGTTTGCATAGACTGCAATAAGCGTAGCAATCTGCCCATCAAAACAAAAGGTGAATGTTAGTGCTGCAGAACTTTAGAGAAAGAAGAGGGAGAAGGGAAGAGAGAAATAGAGCAGAAGAAGAGATAGAAAGAGAAATCGAGGGGGAGAGAGAGGACTTGGAAGAGCTTGGGAAAGAAAAAGGTTAATTACATCAATTCTAGGTTCCCGTTTATAGAGCAAAGAGCAAAATAAAAGAGAGCTTCTAACAATCAGCAAACATATCAATTATTAAAAAATTGTCTAATCCAAACTAAACTACCTAGTCCATAAATCAAATTTTATTTTGAATCCTACCCATACTGGAATCCACATTAAGCTGATCCTGAATGGTGGCAAATAAAGAAGACATAAAAGAGATGTTGGTTCACTAACCAGTTGAGCAATGAGAAATGCTCCCACAAGAAGAAGTCCCGGACGCTCGACGAAAGACCAACTTTGGGATCTTGTCACGAATATGAGGGCTTGACTGATGATACTCACTTGCAAGTATACCGCTGAGGCTAGCTTTCTATTGTCATCATGAGCTGTTTTCTCAAGAGTTGGAACCCCAAACACACGCTGTATATAAAAGAGCAAGTACATGAAAGTTTGATCTTTGCTAAAAGAGCTTCACTATGTCCAAGGAAAATATCAAGAAACAGAGCATCTCTATCAGAAAGAAAGAAATGTACTTTAAGTAGATACATCACATAAAATGTTAAAATCTGAATATGGGATATCCTAATTGTAATAGCCAAGGCAAATGCTCGCGGAGTCATCTCAACTTTTATGCAAGTGAGACGGGTGCCTTAGTGGCTTAGTGCATAAGTTCCACATTTAGTTAATGGCCCCAAACATAGGCACTTTCATTTCAAATAGTTTTACTAACTAAGGCCTTGTTTTTAATCCAAGTCAAAGTCAAACAATCAATATTAACCACATCTTTCATGAGTCCCACAGCTTTCAACCACACATTTCAAAAACTTCTCTCACAATCTACTAAAAATCTAATTTTAATCTCCACCAAACACCCCCTAAATATATGAGTCAAGTTTTTCAGACGGTAACAATTAAAAAACTTATTTTTGTAAATTTAATTGCCTTGACAATAATTTTCATTAGATAAGGTAATAAATTAAATGTATTAACATATTAAAAGAAAAAAAAAAGTAAAGAAAAAATAAACTTTTGTTGGTTACATCGACGACTTCTCTGCCGGCATTCACCGATGTCAATGAATTCTCCGACAACAATCACTGATGTCGACGACATCTTTGTCGGTAATAAATGACATAGACGACTTCACCCGTAGACAATCACTGACGTCGACGACTTCTTTGTCGGCAATCAATGAAGTGTGTGCTAATATAGCAGCTAAGAATTCCCAACAACTGGTCCCAAAATGGTTGATGTAAGGGGGAGACAAAGTAGCATACATATCACATATGGATCTGACAATGCACACAATAGATATAACCATTCCATTCAATATATATTCAACGAGAAAATACATACGGGGAAAAAGTTCGTGTCATATGCTGCCCAGAAGAAAATGACTGTCATCATTGCTAAGTAGCTTCCAAGAACGATTCCGGTTGTAAATATCTCCGACAATTTCCAGCTGTCTGGTAAAGGAGATGGCTTCACCCTATCCTTTGAAATTGTCATAATGGTACCTAGCATGCCATAAATGGGGTTTTAGAAATTAACCCCCCAAATTCTCATATCCCTTTCCCGAAGGGAAACAAAAATTGTTGAAAGGGGAAAGAATACAAGTAGCGTCAAACTAGATAGCATGTGAAATTGAGAAAGAAAGGTGTGCATTCTAAAAATTCTTACCATCGTTGAGGATGGCAATTATCAAAACCATAAAAGGAGGAAAATCGAACTTCCATATGAGTGCAAGTAACATAAAACCAAGCTGCAAAAACAAACATTAATAATGAGTAGACAAGCTTATTTGTCAAAAGATGTGCTTTACATAATGTATATTAATTATACTAACCACGATACGTATTGTAATGGAAACAGCATAAATCTGCACAGAGATTAAGACAATTAATTAGTTTAGAGGGAAAAACAAGATAGCAAGAGTAAACATACCATCCCCCGTTCAAAGTATGAATTGCTAATTTAGATTCACACGACAATTGTCAAAAGAGCGATAGGATTAAGAGGTAAAAGTTTCATATCAACAACTGCCAACTCCTAAAACATAAGAAATTAATGACATTACCACTTAATATACTTGACATGGTACAAGGAATTTATGACAAATATAAGAAGGATAAATACACGTCACTCTTCTCTGTGTTGTAGAGTATATATTGTAGTACTGGCTTTTTGTAACCATCGCTTACTGTGTAATTCTTCATCCTCTGAAAGATTGCCCGACTGGTCAATACAGCACTAATGATCACACTTAGACCAGGTTCTGTTAGGACAATATCAGAAGCGCTACGAGCAGCATCAGTTGCATCAGCAACAGCAATTCCAATGTCAGCCTTCTTGAGTGCAGGGGCATCATTGACCCCATCACCAGTCATTCCGCAAATATGTTTCATAGCTTGTAAACGTTTGACAATTTCATATTTGTGCTCTGCACCAACATATTCATATGTACCCATTAAAGAAGGAAGTACGTTTATTGAAAAATAAAAAGGTTAAAATCTTATCTGGTTGATCAAAATGCCAAGAAAATGCAATGCAATAAGTGAAGATCCGTTTAAACACTCTCATCAAAATGAGAAAAAATATGATCACTTTTAAAGCCAGATATGCAGAATCTACAGAGACAAATTAAAAAAGAAACATATGTAATTTTTAGTAGAGCCAATATCCAGGTAAAGATATTATGTAATGGAAGATTGCACGAGTAGTTTAACAAATCATTTGATCTTACTCCAACACAAATCAATAAAACACACATACCAGGAAAAACACCAGCAAAGCCATCAGCCTTTTCAATTAGCTCATCAACAGGCAATGCAGCAATTGACTCGTCTTTGTTATTTCCTAGTAAAGAAGATGAAGGATACATGTTGGTACCCATTCCCAGACGACGCCCTGTTTCCTTTGCTATTGCTAGCTGATCACCTGGCAGAGATTATTAAATAAGCAATATTGAAATTTAATACCAAACAGTAAATGGGAGTTATATTAAACTGATTTAGAAATAGAGAAAGGTAATAGAACCCAAGAAAGCACAGTGATATACAAGGAAAACTTCTTACAGCCTAAATCTAGTGCTATGAAATATGTAGCATTGACCTAGCGAACTATTTAAAACGAAAATCAGCTACGTCCTATAACAACAACATAAATTGCAAAGTTCCACCAGCATTCATCTATCTGGGTTTCATGTTTTAAACCTTCTTGTACAGAATTGGACATAAAAAAAACCTCTAAAAGAAAATGCAGCGAGAAGTTAACAAATCAAGCCATTACTAACTAAAAAAGTAAAAACAAGGTGCAACACTCGAATTTGTCTAGTAAATTGGCTTCAAAGTAAATTAAATCTATTTATATTTGTCAGATTCACTTTGAATCTCATACTTAGAGGAATATTAACGTGCCGCAATTTTAACTGAAGATATGCTCACCAGTAATCATCTTAACATTCACCCCAAGATTCAGAGCCCTTCTGATTGTCTCAGCACTGTCGTGCCTGGGTGGATCAAAAAGAGGCAAGAGTCCTATAAATTGCCATGGACCTCCCGGACTCTCCTTCTTTCCTTCAGGAACTTCCTGTAGAATATCAAGGTTATCAAATACATGAATCAATTAAATTGGTGTGTGAACCAATTAATAATATGATGCAGAATCAACAATCAAACAGAGAAAACACATTACCTGGTGTGCCACTGCAAGTGATCTTAATCCACGCTCAGCAAACTTATCAATCACAGAATGAACCCGCCGCTGTATCTCTGATTTGTTGTGTGCAAGACCCAAGATCTAGAGATAAAATCAAAAAGAACATTCAGGGAAAGTAATAATTAACGAAGTAGTAATTCATTATAAGATACTCAACTAATATACCTGTTCAGGGGCACCTTTGCTGACTCGATGCATTTTACCTTCGCTATCAATGTATGTCAAAGCTGTGCGCTTATCCGTTGGGTTGAAGGGTAGGAAATGAACTACTTGAATTCCAGCCCTTGCCTTTAAAATGCAAATATAGTAAACCAAAACAGAAGAGAAAAGGATGTTAGAGAGTCAACTGAGAAGACATAGAAATGTCTGCAGATTATAGTAGTCCGTAAGATCAAAATCTTGAGAATTAAAAACTTCGAAAAACTTGACCAATATTGTGTATACTGTATATGACTCTGCTATCCCATCAAAATCACCAACAAAGCTTATAATAAAAGTCCGCATACCTCCTTAGGATCAGCCAACATCCCCACGATTGCAGCGTCAATGGCATCTTGGTTTTCCAACCGAGAGGCTCTGGCAGCCATTAAAACAACAGTATCTACATCAACTCCTTTAGTGAAGACCTACAATCCCAATGTTAGGAGTTAAGACATATCATCAAACTGCCACAATTTGAAATTAATACAAAAACCAACACTATTTAACCAACCTCAATAAGATTTTTGTCAACAGTCAGTTTGTTCAATGTTAAAGTTCCAGTTTTGTCACTGCAAAGCACATCCATGCCTGCCATTTCTTCAATTGCCGTCATTCTTTTAGTGATGGCTCCCTAAAAGTTCACAATATAATTATATAAAATCTAGAAACGTCAAAACTTAACAGCAGCGGGTTCGAAAAAACATCAAAAAATTCTACCTGTTGGGATAAACGGTGGGAACCAATTGCCATTGTAACAGACAAAACTGTTGGCATTGCAATTGGAATTCCTCCAATAAGAAGCACAAGCAGATTATCAATTCCAGGACGATAATCACGATGTTGTATAGGATACAATACAATGACTTCAACAATCATTCCCAAGGCAATGGAACATATGCAGAAATTTCCAATGGCAGTTAAGACCTTCCAACACAAACATAAGTGAGTTGTGAGGAGCAAAAAGGGGGGAAAAAGGAAAGAAATTAGCTACGATCAAACTTAGAGGAGTTGTGGAGTCCATAATACTGAAAAAGACTTGTCAACCATTTACATGACTCTAGGGGTAAATGTGTCTATATTTCATGTAGTGGTCATGCATGAGAAGCATATTATGGAAACTAATCCAATAAATTCTCTCATAAATATGGCATAGAGCAAAGGAATTGGAACTTGTGATTCACACCTTCTGAAAATGTCCCACTTGATTAGTGGAGTCTACAAGATGGGCAGCCTTGCCAAAGAAAGTGTGAACGCCTGTCGCAATGACCACTGCTTCAATCTCCCCTTGTTTGACAGTGGACCCCGAATAAACACCATCACCGGGGCATTTTGTTGCAGGAAGGGATTCTCCTGTGAGCGCAGACTGCAAAACGAAACAGGAATTAGATTATACTTCAGAACTCAACCACACAAAAAACAAGAACAAAAGAAACTAATAATTAGTCAAAATCGACGGAAGATTGAATTACAAGAGGACCTGATCTATCTTTAAAGGATCGCCTTCGAGGAGACGAGCATCAGCTGGAATTATATCTCCGAGCTTTATACTTACTACATCGCCAGGAACGAGAATGGCAGCATCTTCTTCAGTCCATCTCCCATCTCGAAGAACCTATATAATTTCAATTGAGATAAGTATGGAAAATTACTAAACTGTTTGAATTCCACCATGGAAGTTCTTAAATTACAAAACTCTTTGTTTAGAGAATTATTTATAAACATGAAATGTAGTTATAAAGAGCTACATCTCTATACCTTAGCTTTAGGAGCAAGGCGAGCCATAAGAGCTGCAGCTGCATTTCCAGCATTGTTCTCTTCGATGAAACTTATGGTAGAGTTGATTACAAGAAGAGTAACAATCCCAACAAAATCTTGCCAATCCAGTGGTTTTCCCTGCAATTACAGTAAAGAAAAGGAATGACAACAAAATATAGTCATGTTTAAGAGTGCTTTAGAGGGGGAAATAGAAAACAAAAAGGAATATATAATATCCAAAGAACATTTGAAATTAGATAACTTAAAATTTGTCTAGTAATGTGGAAAAAAGCAACAGGAAAGACAAAGGAGAAGAATAAACTAAAGAGAGTGTTGAGTACTTACTCCTCCATTAGCCAGAGCAATGGCCATGACAGCTGCAGCTTCCATTACCCATGAAAGAGGGTTCCACATAAACCCCAAGAACTTCAGAATCTTATTCTCCTGCAATTTCCCATTATTTTTCAGAAAAAAAAAAAACACTCAATCACACTCGGAAAAGAAATCGAGAAAGAAAAAGAAAACATGAATAGCATAACCAGCAAAGATATTCAGAAATAATCAAACCTCCTTTTCCTCAAGCTTATTTTGACCAAAGATTTCAAGCCTTCTGTGGGCATCCTTAGATGAGAGGCCATCTCTTGTGCACCTTAAATTTTCAAAAACGTCTTCCATTGGTACATTCTCCTGCATACGGTGTCGCCATTAATAAAACAAAATAAAAAAATCCAACGTCTCCATCACCGAAAAACAGAAATGAACAGCTGAAAATCCCAAAACATATTGGAAGAGTGTAGCATCCAGAATCATAAAACGTCTTTAAATATCAAAAACAATGGCCTAAAAAGCTCAAACAACCAATTCGATTGAACTAGAGCTCAAAACAGTAGTTAAATTCATACCAAATCCATAGCCTCCTCCTTCAGAGCCTCCAAAGCTTCATCCTTCGCCCCCATCTCTACACAAACGAGTAGAATTAGAAGAGAGAGGCTGTTCTCCGATTTTGATTTTCATTTGTATTCGCGCCTATTTAAGGGCGGAATTGTCTCTAGGAAGATCACGTACTTGGCAGGTACATTCCTGTCGTCACTAGAATTTGTTACGTTCTGTTCATTTTTTTCATATGAATTGGAATCAACGGCCATCTTAATGCAATAAAATAGTGGCTATTTTAGAGGTGCATCTAGCATTATGACAATGAGTAATGCTACGAGTACATAAGCATCTAGACAAGGGTTCACATAATTATACGTGACATATGATCCAATCTTTAAATCAAATTTCACACTTACGCATCAACAATTGGATGGTTGACACATCACCATTATGTACACCATTATGTGCATCATTATGTATCTCTAACATTATTCTTATGACAATATGCGAGCATATTCATAATTATGCAATTTTTGTTTTTAATATTATCTTAAATATTCTAAAATAATAAATAACTAAAATAATGCATTCTTTAAATATTATACATATTCTCTAAATTTTAATAAAAAATTGCTAAAATAACAAATTATATAATCTTAAAATTTTTAATAAAAATATAATGCTCAAAATCATAAGGACTACAATTACTTAGTAATCAATTCCTATAATTAGATCAGACACGGCTTAAAAAACCATAAATATTGTTAACTTTTTATGGAGTTCCAATTCTAACCCTTCTTCATACAAGTCATCTTCTGTATCATTTGATGTAAAATTATCTTCATCGGACTCCCTTATTTCAATTTGAGAATTTCTATTATCTCTTTTAAATGATAGAGTATCATTATTAACCTCATCATCATCATCATCATCATCACAACCATCGACAATTCAAGATTATTCATTGCTAATAAAATTTGAGAAAGATCGAAAAGAAAGGAGGCTCGAGCTCGGCATAGTTAGTTTGCAATTTTACGAAAAAATTGTTTAAATTTTCGATTTTTTTTTTAAATGTCAATACCATTATGAGTGTTGTATATAATTAATGGACTTGGGTGATTTGGATTAATTTGACATTTGTTGGGTTTAATTTGTTTTTTTATTTTTATTTTAAAGTTATAAACATGGGCTGGACTTTGTTAGGCTAATTTTGATACAATTTTTAGCACAAATGCGAGTGCAATTTGACATTTAAACATACATATGCGGTCAACAAAATGGATTAACACATTATCGCATGCATACCACATATACGAGGCCTTTCGAAAATGCATCGAGTATATGCGAAACACGTGCGTACAGTTTAGAACACTGATAAAAAATTAGTGTTATGAATTAAAATAAAAATTAATATGGCAAGAAAAAAGTATTCATGGTCAATAGTCTAAACGTAGAGACTTTTTTAAAGACCTAATTGGGAGTTTTTTTTTCCTTCTTTGATTTTGATGGATTTTGAGTGACACTGTATATGAGATATTGGAACAATTGGTGCTTGTTAGTTTTTTTAGGCACTGATTTTGAACGTTTAAAAATTTCCAAAATCGGTATAGTGTAATTTTGATAGTTTCCTCAATCCACCAAATCGGTGAATTTTGGTCGATTTTAGATCTTCTAATTTTAATTTTTAATAAAATAATTATTTGCAACCTACATATTTTATTCTAAACTAACTTGTAAATAAAAACACATTAACAAAAATAATTTATAAGTAAAAATTTGCTTATAAGATAAAATTTACTTTTGTGTAAAAAAATTGTTTATGAAGTAAAAATATTACTAATAGGACAAAAATTCACTCCAACAATGCTCACTATTTTGACTATTTATTTTATTTTTTCAATGAATATTTATTGATCTCTCTACATTTCTTATTTAACATTATTCTTTTGTATGTTAGTATAGTATTGGAGTTCATTCCAAGCTCAACTCGAAGGATGTGTCAAACTGGGCTCTTTTACTACTTGATTTAGCCCATTAGCTTGTGGAACTTATGGGCCAAGCAGAGCCCTTTCGTTTAAATTCTATTTTTGTAAAATTAAAAAAATGAAACCCTTCTCCTTTTTTTTTCTGAGTTTGGGACCAACTACTTTAAATGTAAGTGGAGTTAAACTCGTACACAAACAAGATATTATCTGTACATTTTTTTCCCTAGAAGTTAAAAAAATAAAAATAAAAAATTATCGTAAATAACACTTATAAATTATGGACTAGTCAATTCACTTGTACTTGAAACTCTCAACTTTATATTAGATCCAAAACATTGTGTCTTTTCAATCTTTTAAACACATTAAACTCTCTAGTATATCATCGGCATACTTGAGTCGGATTAAAATCTGATTTTAATCTACGTAAAAGTCAAACAATCAATATCAACCAAATCTTTCATGAGTCCCACACCTTTTCAACCACACATTTCAAAAATCTCTATCACGATTCACTAAAAATCTACTTTTAATCTCCACCAAACACACTTCATATTTAAGTGTTGACATGTAATCAGACAGAACCCTGCCACATGTTCTAAAAGCAAACTCTGATACTGCAGTAGATGCTAATGTGTTAGTAGATTACATGTTGTATTAAAAACAATTGGATACTGACACTCGTTCATTCTCCACTTCCTATGTCAAAAGTTTTGTTTTTCTTTCTCATCTAAACTACTAAACATGCCGTGAGTGAAATACCTAAGTGATTCTAACGGTATTCCACCTCTATATTCGTACCATGGGTAAGAGAAAAAGAAGTACTAGACTGTTGCGTAATTTTACAAGAACCAGGGTAGCTCCATAAAACGTTGTTGTTTTGTGACGATGAACAAGACCTTGCCATGGGGGGCTTCGAACGTTGCTACTACTCTTTCGACATATAGCTTAGACGTCTCACATAAACTTTTCTCCATATTACCATGTGTAACTAGAGTTTCAAAAGATATTTTTTTGGAAATTCTATTTGCAATATGTTTTGTACCTTTAAATTAAGCCCATGTTTGAACCACATCAAATTGAATTATATTATATTAAATTTTTCTTTCTCTTCATTACAATCACACATTTATCAAATAAAATAATATTACACACAAATCTAAAACTTTTCATTACTTTTCTACCAAACATTTTCCCATCAATTACTATTCCAAAAATTTTCAACTATCAAAAATGTCAAATAATTGTGGCCAAACAGGGGCTAAATGTAGTTTCCATTACTGAAGCTAAAGGAAAGGACATAGGCAATTCCTCTCAATATTTTCTAAACTTAACTTCCATCGCAACTACGATATCAGAAAAGATGGAAAGTATTTTATACATATTGAAATAACAGACGATATAACAAAAATGGTTGAGAAATAGTAAACTTGACAGATAATATAGCTTGAACATGCATTAGTAGCGTTGTAAAAAACTTTCAAAATTTTCTCACATGAAATGAAATTCGCCAGTCATCTTTTTGTAAATCAAATTTTGGACCGTGTGAATGTCGATCGTTGTAATAAGAAAAAAAAGCAATAGTCGTAGCCTTCACAAGAAAATAGCGTAAGATAAGTAGAGTTCCATATATGACCTTCATTTGTGATAAATGTTCTAGTGCTTAGTTCATTTCCTATGCTTAAATAATCAAATACTTGTTTTTTACTAGGAAAGATCGTAATATAGTTAAGGGCGTACCTAATATTTTATAACCGTCCTTCTATGAATTTTAGCACGTCTTTCATAGTTAAATTAAAAATAGGACAAATACAAGGGATGAAATAGTATACCACCAAAATCTCCAACTACTTTATCAATTACTACCGATTTGACTGATACATTATCTTATCAAATATAAATCCACGAATATTATTTTCACAATTAAATTCTTTAATAATGCTTATTAATGCATAAAAATAATTATTCCGTCATAAGAAATTTCAATTACTTTAAACGCAATAATTTTTCATGCATTATACACTGTTTATCTGTGTAGTGTATAGTAGCAGCTATATACCTTATGGTTAATATCGGGCCACAAGTTAGAAGTTATACAAGACTTCTTTTTATTGTTTAAGTTAATAACATCCGAATGAAGATTATTTCTAGAATAGAATTTGTACCAATGTTGGAGATAATTCTGAATGAAGTTGGTCAAGTGAATGCTTTTTACTACTCTTAGCAAAAACTCGCCACTAGCTATGAACATTTTCAAACCTTCGCGCAATGTCTCTTGTAAATAGACTCAGCTATTAAATGGATCGTGCCAATAAACTTTTTCCCAAGAAAACCTTTCTTTGCAATATTTTGTGCTTTGTACACTGGCTTTTCGTCTACTACCGCATCTGTAGCCACCAATTTGTAGTGTTCAAGAACCTATTGCTATCGTTTCATTTTCTTTGAAATTATCCAAATCAATTGGATTCGTCCTCTTATGATCATCACCTAAATTATCTTGAACTGGTGGCAAGGTATTTTCTGCCTGTCCGGCGTGTTGCAAGCACCAAATTAACTTTTGGTTGAAGTCACCAGTTTTCAACAATCTGCTATAATCCATTTGGAATAATAGAAGAAAGAAAGAGGTATAATAATAGAATTTATACTAGAACTCGACATAAATAACTCAAATTAGTAAATTTTGAGACAATGCAATTCAAGATCGCACAATAAAAAAGCTAATATGAATATTATAAGAATTGGGTTGTAGATTACCAAATGAGAAGGTTGAGAGAGTTGTGTGGAAAAAATAAAGTGGAGAGTAAATATGACAATAAGTAAAAATTTTGGACCTTTCATGTAATCAAAATGTTGTGTGACTGAAAAAAAAAACGATGAGAATATATTTAGCAATTGATAAATTCTCATTGATATTTAGTGGATGTTTGGTGGGGATTAAAATTAAATTTTTAGTAGATTGTGATAGAAATTTTTGAAATGTGTAGTGAAAAAGCTGTGCGACTCATGAACAATGTGGTTAATATTGATTGTTTGACTTTGACTTAAACTAAAATCTGATTTTAATCCGAAACAAACAGGGCCTTAATATGTGATCAGAC